TCTATCTGAAACAAACTATTGGATGCATTTAAACACAAAATTACTTCACAAGTTATTATCGGGCTTTGGAGAAGAGCGTTAAACAACACTAAGGAATATTTTGCATCTGACGAAAACGCACAATTAATTGACGATGAATTTGACAATTATAGTAGTTCCGATGATGATCACGTGATTTGATTCAATTTTCACATTTTTATACTTCCCGATACATATAAATATTATTTAAATAATAAAAAAAAGTTTAATTAATAAAATTTTTTTTATTGGTGGTTTTTTTCAGTATACAAATGTTTTTGCACCGGACCATATTTAATAATTGTTCTTATATTTTTTATTGTTTTTTATTAATATTGTCTATTTAACTAAAATGGAGTCATCCAAGGAAAAGATAAATTACTTACTTTAATAAAGTTATTATTTTCGCCAAATTGTATTTAAATTCAAAGCATTTATTAAGAGCTTGTTACCATAAAATTTTATAATTTAAAAAATTTTTTTTTTATTTAAAAAATCGATTTTTTTGTATATTACATAAAATCCAACTGAAAAACACACTTTACAACCTAAGAGAACCTTCTTACTCACATAAAATTACATATATTTTTGTTGTTAAAGTTGTATATTTGTATTCACTTGTAAGAAGATCTTTAAAAAACTTATTTTTAAAGCAAAATTTCACGTAAATGTAAAAAAAGTAATTGTTTAAAAGGAAAATTAATGGTTATAATTAATTGAACACATGATGATCTATTAATTTCTTAATAAATATTGTGATAGTTAACTATAGAGTATTGTAATTTAATTATAGTTACATGAAATTTTTTTAATATGAAAATGATCTGTGTGCAATATGTCTGATGCTTGATATAATGTCTCAGTTGAAACGTTGCGATGATAAGCTACTTCTGAAAAGATTACTATCGTTAAAACACCCAGATGAAAATGACTCTACTCGAATACAGATGTATACAGAGCCTTTGAAAATGAGTAGCAACTTATGCAAAAGGCCAAAGTTTGCTATGTTAGAGTCAACTTAAAACATCAACGAGGTGATCTTAAATGACAGATTACAGACCTCTGACAATATTATTCAGAACATGAAATTATCAGTGACATCAGTTTAAAACTCAACTGGAAGCACATGGGGTTTGTTTTCCTTTTGGAACGAGTATATTTTAATGGAATCGAAGAGGTAGTGGTTATCTGAAAAGACTGCTTGTATTGCTTTAGATCTGAATTCATGGAGTAGATCCTTGAAAAAAGCTAGACACAGCTTGTGGTTCTCAGTTCAGACATTTGTACCAATGATAGCGAAACTGGAGAACTTGCAGAAGATTTACTTGCAATTGTTACAGTATTTGTAATGCGATATAATGAAATACATTCTGCTACAAATCGTAGAAAAAGAAAAGGTGTCACCTAAGAAGAAAGAAATAAAAAAACTTCCAGTAGGCAAAGTACAACACATCTGCTTTTTTCCCATTCAGGAGAAGTGAATAAAACTCAGACAATAGATAGGGATAGCACGATAGACATACAATCAATGTCTTATTACGATTAAAAAAGAAGGTGTCAATCAAAAAAAAAGGATTTAAGGGCACAATGTCTTAATGCTATAAACTTCAATAATACTGAACTTAAATGAGTTCTTGAGACTCTATATGATATACGAAATGAAACTATGAATAATTTGCTTAAAGCATATTCTTTCAACTTTATTACAAATCATAAAAAATTCAAGATAAAGTTCTATTCTAAAAAGGATTCTTAATAGTCAATTGTAATACTTTCCAAATACTAGGGTAAGTCTCGTGATAAATATGTATTTATTCATAAAATCAAGTCAGCAAAGCCTCTTTTAAGTCAACTTGAATATGATAATCATCTTGTTATAAATCATTTTGGTGAATTTTATCTCTGTATACCTAAACCACTTGAAATACAGGCTGAAAACCAAAATCCTTTATTTCAGAAATACAAGAAAAGATCTTTATTTGTTTTTTTTATTATATGGGACCTTTGCAGTAGAAAAACCAGAAACTCCGAAAAACGTGATTTTGAGATAATTGAGTTTGAAATTTTGATCACATGTAAACAGATCGACAGTCTGCAGAATTAAAAATAGAATTAACCCATTATAGTCCGATCTGCATTATATTGTTTATTTATTTTAAAATGCAATAATAAAAAGCCGTTAAAATAAAAAAATTAACAATCATTTTAATTTTTATTTAGATAATTTTTATTTAGAACTAACGTTTTCCGAAATGAGTGTCCGGAGACGTTTTTTCCACGAAATGAACGTCTGATGACATTTTTTTCCACGAAACGAACGTCCGGTGATTTTTTTTCCGCGAAATAAACATCCGGTGACGTTTTTTTTCCACGAAACGAATGTCCGGTGATGTTTTTTTCCGCGAAATGAACGTCCAGTGATGTTTTCTTCCGCGAAATGAACATCCGGTGACATTTTTTCCGCGAACGTCTGGTGACATTTTTTTCGTGAATTGAATGTCTGGAGACGCTTTTTTCACGAATTGAACGTCTGGTGTTGTTTTTTCCGCGAATTGAACGTCTGGAGACGCTTTTTCCGCAAAATGAACGTCTGGTGACATTTTTTCCGCGAATTGAGTGTTCAGAAACGTTTTTTTCGCGAAATGAACATCTGGTGACGCTTTTTTTACCAAACGAACGTCCGGCGACGTTTTTTCACGAAATGATCATCTGGAAACATTAATCTATGGAATTAATGTTCGAATATTCGATGTACCATGTTAATCTTGCGGAATAATGTTAATCCAAAGCCTTG